TTCATTTTCAAGCTAAATCTTGATTGTTGGCATCAAACCATTTTATAATGAATTATTTATACAGCCGGGATAGGACCGGTATCGTGATTCCGAATAGATTGACCTTTTTCGAAGTGAATCCAGATTGAAAGCGATACTTATAAAAAATGTATAAACCAAAACCCGTATTAAAATATACGATCACACTAGCTGATTTGAAGTGCATTTTTCACTACATTTTCGAAATGTTTACAATTCTGATTGTCAGGTGACGAATTTGATTTGTGTTTGGCTTAATTCTGTATTTGAAAAAAATACAAATAATCATTTGGGGTATACAAACTGTATACAATTACAATATAAATAATGCCTTTTTTCACAGATTAACATTTGTTTTGTTCAATTTAAATACAATAATTGATAATTTCTTAATCTCAAAATTCTAAGAAATAAACAAACAGAATAATAATTACAATATATTCTCAATAATACCGCAAAAGGTTCGTCTATCGAATTGGTAACAATAATAATTTTCAGTGGTTTTTCATCTTTGTTTGAGTCGCAGCGACATGATGAAGAATGCAACAATACGCAGTGCAATACAAATGACTAATAGCATTGAAAAAGCAAACAAATAGTCTGAGTGATGCATGTCAATCTCTTTCATAAATTTAAATGGTATTCGATAGTGGCAATAGATTTCATTGCACGGTAACTTTGGTCGATTGTAGCCAAAAATGGCATGAGTGGCTCCCTCCACGGCGTACTTTAGGAACGATGAATGAAACAGCCACTTCAACCAATCCGGTGAATCGGAAAAGCGGAGGAAAAATCCGCTAAATACCACGAATGGGGATATAACAAACGGGCCAACAATAACACCCCACTGTAAATAATCGAAAATAAAACGATTAATCATTTAAGAAATTAAAAGCGAGTGTAATTAATTCGAACCTTAACTCCACACGAGGCGCCTACAATCATACCAATTCCTTGCGATATCAGCGTTACTATGACAGTAATGATTAAAAACAAACCCAATCGAAACACTTCAAGTGGCTGTGATGTCATCGAATACGTAATCAATACATAAACCAATACGCACACAAATTGTAACGGTAAATCGGCGAATGTTAAGGCAAAATAGTAGGCTTTTTTCGAATACCATCGATTAAAATGCTCTCTAACCACTATCGACATTTCAAGTGGAACTGCAATAAAGCAAATTTAGGAGATTAATTAGGTTTCGATTTCCATGTGATAAAAGACAACAACGATTCCACTCACAGGTTATGGTCATTGAAGAGAATGATGTAAACATGAGGAACATTAGCGATAAGAAAATGTATTTAAAATTGTTCAACATCATCGACGCATCGTTCCCAATGTTGAAGTATAGCGTGCCTACTAGCAAAGCGATACAGGTGTGAATGATAAAACGCATCAAAGCTAACGATTTATCACGCCGTAAACAGAGAAGCATTCGAAGCATTAGCAAGTACCATTGGCGTAAAAATGATGTGGCATACGCTCCACTATGCCCAGTACAACACTTTCGGCCGCCCAATTGAAGCGATATCATCTTTGGTTTCTTCCAATGAACTGACTGTTCGGTAGGAGTCGAGACGTCATGAGAACTCAATATTGGCGCTAGTTCAGGTGCACATACTGGCGTCACCAATCCATATCCCATGATTTTCTCTGAAAGTAAATGGCAAATTCGTTAGTTTCAATGACATTAGAGCTTCTAATAAGTGTTTTTTTCTTCTTCTATTTTTAGATTGTATTTTAATTTGTCGTTGGGTTTTTTTCTCCTTTTTTTGTCATTAGTTTCTCCTCTTCTAGCTTCTTTTCTCCATTTTTATGTTTTTTTTTCAGATGTCTTTTCGTTTCTTATCTTTTTCGTTAATTTTTTTTTGTTATCATTTCACTTCCTTTGATATTTTTTATCTTTTCTTTTTTATCATTCCTTCTGTTAATGCGTTCTAAGTATGTTGAAGTGACTTAAAGTGACCTTTATTATTTTCGAAGCAAAAATTATTTAGAAGAACAACCAAAAGTCAAACTTGAGCTCGTTCAAATTAGCGCATTGTAATTCAATTTAATTTGAGTGATGTTGCTCTAGCTTCGAATTGTTTTCCCAATTTAGAAGCAAAAAACGATGCGGAAATTTTTACCTGCTATTTCTAATGAGTAATTATAGGCGGAACTGTGCGTGTTCGTTCGATAATGTTCATTTAAACCGTTGAGAATTTTCGCTGTCAGTCGATCATTGTGATGTCCATAGTCATGAGTGGAAATTTCTAGTACTAAAATGAAGGAAAAATGCACAAAATAATTATTTTATTGATTTTGTTTTCAGGAAAGAGTCAATAAATTTGAATGTTTCAACGAATTTCGCAAACTTACAATAATCCGACGGATTATACGTTTTCGGACATTCCAATTCGCATTCTGATAAGAATGGCACAAGCATACCCGTTGCACCGGCATAAATGCATTGACCTTCAGCGATTGCATAAAGGTGATCGAATAGTCCGAACAGCAGTGCTGAAGGTTGATGAATTGTACAAACAATGGTGCGCCCTTCCTTAGCCAGATGTTTCAGCAATAACACGACCTGGGTCGATGTCGAACTATCTAGTCCACTACACATGAAGAAAAAATTCACACAATGTGAGAAAAAAAAATCGAGAATAAATTATGAAATGTCATCATTTAAGCAAAAAAAATGTCATCCAATTTTGGTTTCTCCTTAAACAAAACAGAATAGTTATTTTTTTCCTCGTACTGATTCTACTAGTGACTTTGTTATTCTTTTTTGCGCTGAAGCGTTTCATGTAAACATGTTCAATTTCTTGTTATCTATGTATTTAGCCGTTGTTTTTTTTTAAATTGTAAACTCCAACTCCGTCATTACTTCGCATGAATTGTAATTCAATATTTGTGTGGCAATTAAGTGTACAGCGAAAACGAACGAACATAAAAGAGAATCATGTTGATAATTTGCATGTAATTTTCATACCTAGTTGGCTCGTCAAATGCCATAAATTGAGGATTATCTACTAGCTCCAATGCGATTGCCAATCGTTTTCGTTGGCCACCTGATAGTTTGCCCGTTTTTGTGTATCGATTCTCATACAATCCAATGGCTTCTAGAATTTCCTGAATCTGTATGTGGAAGAGAGAGAGAGAGAGTAGTTAGTGAGGAAGGTGAAACGATTCAATCGATTTTAATACACGATACTAATCAATTGCTTAGTTTGACGCTGTTTTGTGTGCGCGCACGTGCGATTCTATTTGGCGTGTTTCGTTTTTGTTGTACTTACTCGTTGCTTTTTCTCGGCACGTTTGAGCTGTGAGCCGATTTTTAAATTGACTGAGAAAAACATAGCCTCCCAAACGGTGATGTGCATCTGTAGTAAATGGTCCTGCATAATGTATGCGGCCTGACTTCGGAATCGTTTCAAATCTCTTGCACGGTCATTTATTGTGATGCTTCCACTCGCTAAATTCGTTGTGTATCCCGTTAATATGTCTAATAGTGTACTTTTTCCCGAACCTGATGGTCCCATCACAGCAGTTAGTTCACCCGCACGAAATTCTCCGTTGACTCCATTCAAAATCGTCTTTGTTGCTGTACACACAAAGCAAATCACATAAAGAATTTTAGCATTAAACAAAGAAAATCATTTTCGATGTTTTGATTTCAACATTCAATGAACAAACGATACGAAAAAAGGCAACAACAACATCAATGGCACTGCAGTGGCGGAACTAATTCAAGTAGCAGCCGTTAAGCCATACACACAATACAATTAGGATTTGTTTATATGTCTGGCTCAGTTCCAATGAACTTCAAACGCGACTAAATTTTCAGCTTGCAACACATCAAGTGGTTTTTTATTTTGCGAAAAAATAGTAATTTATCTCTAAATGAACAAACGAAGAGAAGCACACGTGTCTGGTTGTTTTAGAGATATTTTGATGGGAGTGCGATTGTGTGTAACAAAGAAACATAAATAAGCAAGTGTGGATTGCTTTGCACTGTACTATAACAGCAATTACAAGTTCTCTTGCACTGAAAAAACTTACGAATTAAACGTAGTTCTAAATACGGTATTTGAACGAGAAAAAAAAGGTTGTAAATCGTGTATCGGTCAATTGAAATATTGAACACTCAACGATTGATAATTTTTTTGACACCATTTGGTCATTGTGTTTCACTCTCCTAATAAATGCTATCGTCAACCCGTGCTGTAATATAAAAATTGGGATAATTTTTTGCTCGTTTCAATAAATAGATTTCAAATGAATTGTGTGGCAAATTCATCAGCAATCATGTTGTTAGGCCATTGCTTACATAGAGCCACACAGTTATGGCCATTAAAAAAAACACTGATAATTGTTCAAATAGCTGTGGTCGTGCCAAACATTCGAATGTTCATTTGTATACGTTCTCGTTAACCTTCGCCAATTATGATTGTAAAAAGAACGTTTATGTTGTGATTCTTTTCGTGTTTCATCACTGGCATAACCGGACATAACTGACTTGGGTTGGCTGCACGATTGTTCACCATTGTGAAAATGTCATGACATCATTAGAAATCAATTGAGTACCTATCATTTGTTATTAAAAATGAATTAGCACTTACAGCGATCCCATGGGAATCCTCTTCGCGCTCGATAGATTATATCTTGAAATTTAACATTGATGCCCTTGCTACATTCATGCTCTGAATCATCGTTCGTGCCAAAACAGCCGTCCGTCTGGTCTTTGTCCAAATGCTCGGTAGTCAGTGGTTTAAGGTTGATTGCCGATGGTCGTCGTGCGATGAACGTTTCGTTCACCTGCGGTATGGTCATCTTGGTCGATATACCATTGATAACTGAACGATTAACATCTTTTTCATCCGATAATATGCCACCATTTCTCACCGTAGCTAAACACTGTCGTCGTTCTGACAATAAATCATTATTATTAGTATCTTCGGCGTCGTCGTCTCTCGTATCATCAATATCGCCAGCGTTCTTTTCAATGTAAGTTATCGTCACATTTACTGAATTACTCGCACCCGTATGATCTGGTAACATAGTGATTATAATCACCGATCGTTCCTTTTTGCCGCTTCTGCTGCCTCTTTACTCAAGTGTGCTGCTCTTGTGTGATCGAGATCATCTAACTCCTATGTGGGCAATTTTGTTTTTGTGTGTGTATATATCTTTATTTGCTCCTATCTTCTGTTCATACACAAATTGACGTTGCCACGAAACGTGGAAAAAATACAAAACTTCTCGCCAAAAGACTCACAAAAGTATGAATTACACTTTGATCATCTGTTGTTGATAAGGCACACAATTCTCTGAATACGATTTGCGATAGAATCCAAAATCGTCAAGACAAGCGGCAATACATCGTTTAGATTCGCTTGTGTGCCTGAACTAATTGATAATTTTAACGTTATCGCATATTATCATTGTGTTCTTTTGTTATGCGTCTCTTTTCGTGCGCTATCTGCATCTCATTCAGAACTGAACACTTTACGGGAAAAAAAACGCCGTATTGTGTGTAATCAAATATTCCGATGTAGTGATGATTTACTTTTATGTTAGATTCCTTGTGCGAATTTCGATCGGTCAATGATATAAATAACTAGATTGGCTGTCGTATTGAATCCGCTCTCACCACGATTGTTGTTGTTGCTGTTGGTGCAATTGAAAAACATGTGTTCGAACTGGAAAAGTATTTACGGGTTGTTGCTGCAGTTTTGATTCAATAACATTCCCTTTTTAATACGATAATCATTCGCATTTGATTCACTTTCGATTATTTTTCGCTCTCTCTTTTGATTTATTCTCAATTATTTCTAATTTCAATTTGTCTCTATCTAAACACAGATTTTGTTGTGGCGAAACACTCATTCAATTAGTCTTCTAATAAAAAATACGCTCTGAATCGTTGGACTTTTACTAATTGAACATCAACGATTTTCATATGCCCACAGCTATCGTCAAATAATGACAGCGATATCATTCATTTAATATCACACACGTATTGATGCACGAAAAATAAATAAATCGAAGCACTTCTAAACGCTGCAAACTTATTACTTATTCACGACCAACAGTTCATTATCATAAGTTTGCGCTCAATCGGATCGCTATGGTGTGGTGTTTGTTTTTGTTTGTTTGCGTTTTTATTACAACTCACTGCGATGCACATATTCGTGCTGATATCTACGATTGCTTGCGCTATTCTCTTTCAAATTGGTTGTGGTTTTTAAATGTATGTTTTCAAGAGATTGAATTTCAATTTTTTTGTTCTGCTTCTGCTCACATTCCACCCAGAGAGACACACACATCACATCAACACTTGTGTGTCAACGGAAGAGACTGCTGCGACTGAAACGATTGTAAGCAAATAATTGCTATATTAGCTGCTACTGCTGCTGCTGCTGCTGCGGCTGTTGATGCAGTACAGCGCCAATGAGTAATCAAACAAAACAAAAGACCTGAATGAGTGTACCATTGCAATTGACCACATATTGTGCACACCAATTACAATTATTAACTATTCTCCACTTTTTTTATCGATTCACCCATAATTTCTCTATCGTCTGTGTACTGCTAAACGCACAATTAGACAAATCGGAAACGATTCTCTTTGTTATTCAGCCGATGTGAAATAGCAGAACAGGCGTGAGCAAATACAAAGTACGTAGTTCGAACTCACAATGTGAAATATAAAGAAAAAAAAACACACATCGATACACACAACACACAACACACAGAGCACTGAGCACGTTCGGTGCGAGTGAATACGATACACGAGGCTAACTAACGTTTTGAACCCTGAGCATATGTGCAAAGCTGCTTTTGGATCGTACAACACTCACTTTCGTGAGATATATATATATATTTTAATCTGATTTGTTTTTGCGCTTGTATTACAATATTGCCGCACTCTCGTCGGTTGAGTAATGACCAACGCATAATAAAAACAAATAAGAATTTGGGCGAACGAGACAAACGTATGACACATGTAAACATGAATGAACCGATACATTCGAATTGTCAGCTGCTCTTCTAGTATTCTGTATAAGACGAGTTTAACTAGTTATCAAATCTTGGCGTCTCCATCGATAGTCAAATGTTCGCAATTAAGTGAGTTCAACGAGTTTTTTGTTTCTTTATTTCTTCCGTTGAACGTGTTTTGAACATTGTTATGATGATCTAGCAATAGACCTAATTAAAAATTCAATAAGATTGAATTGATAAATGTGAATTCTTACTTTTGAGATGATTGAAACAAAATCAATTCCGAAATGGAAAAAAAACATTGAATTCACAATGAATAACAATCATTTTCTCTGAGTTTATTCATTTTCAAATCCATTTACACTGTTTTAGCTGTTCTTTCCCGTTTTTCCTTCGACGATTGATTTGATATGCATTCACGCCTGCTGCTTCCATCCACATTGATCATAATTTCGTCAGTATTTTTCTGAATTTTCAAAAACACAGTTTTTTTTCGGTTGGAATCAAGTTAACGTTCAGGTTAACATTAGTTTGGCTGAGGAAATTAACCAAAATCATGACGTTAAGTAGTATGAGCTCAAGTTCACGAGCATTATTATTGTCTTAGATGGAAAACACAAGCGATAAAAGTTACCGGCTGAATGAGAAAAAATTGAATCAAACGATGTTGCACCGAGTAAATCAGATTTAACACTTAACCGAAACATTAATATTACAAACGATGAAGACGTTGACTGTTCCTCGCATAACAAAATGCATAGCGCCATTCGTTTTCGCAGTGGACGGTGTTCAAACTATGAAACGTCTAATCGGGTTTAAACGTCAGAAGATTTGATATTCAATTGAAAATGCCAACAGACGAACAACAACTGTCCAGCTCAACGAATTCCCTGAAAAGGAAACGGGAGTCGCACAAAAAATCCACGGATTCGGTAAGAATATGGAGAGAATTGTTTATATCTTCAGAACATTTTTTTTTAGATTTTACCAATTTCACAATTTGCTTTATGGTTGCACATTTTTGGTTATACATTTTGTTCTACCGTAGGCCGAAGCATCTACAAAACGTGCCAACTATTACTTAAGGACACGGAGAAAGAAGCTCAGAAGTTTGGTGTCAATAGAATCAAGTCCATCCAAGAAATCCAACAAGTACCTTGTCCTTTCCGGAATCATATTGATCGGTTTCATTGTGTTCGTGTGGAAGAACGAACAATTTCGTGATGAGCTGAAACATGTGGCTATGAATCAGTTTCAAGTATGTGCAAATTTTGCTTTTTTATGACTTGAAATTGGATTTTTCTATTTTTAATTTTGCAATTCTCTCTTTTTCAATCGATTGTTTGTTCAATATTGTTCTATGCGATTTTTCAGATGTACCTGCATGGCCGTGAAAATTACTGTGATGAACCGTTTGAGCATTGGCACATTGCGAACGTATTGCAGCATCGGATCATCGGTCAAGAAACAGTTCTTGAAAGCATCGACCAAGCATTGGAACAACACGAGAGTATCACCGCATTGGCCTTCATTGGGACACAAGGTGTTGGCAAAACATTGACATTGAATTTAATTCAGGAACATTTCCAATGGCATCTGAACATTCAGCAGTACATTTGGTCGTTGATACAGTCTCCAGAGAAACAACTGGACTATCTGCTGCGAATCATAAATGGTTTGACGACATGCGGTCAAAATGGCATCTTCATCGACAGCATTCCCATCAAGCACGTCGAAACCATCGCTGCGTTCAACGCAAAGCTGTTTGCCCATGCCAAAGAGAACAACATCAAATTGGTTGTAATTTACGCATTCCAAACCAATAATCCGATCATAGCCAGCCAACCAGTGCCGATCGATGGTGTAAAATCGATTATCTTCCGTCAATTTGACTCGAATGACATACACAACTGTATAACTATGGAAAGTGAACGATTAAAAATCACTTTACCACCCGCTCAACTTAACGATTTATTAGAAGATATCGACGCTAAACGACATGGGTGCAAACATGTCGCTTCTCGAATCGCACGACAGGACATTCAAGACTTTTAATTACATTTAGACATATAGCGAACTTTGATTGTGATCGTTTTCTAATAGGCGTTAACTCTGTGTAAAAAGATTTTTTTTGTAATTAAATTTTAAGAAAAGAATTGACTAAGCCACCATTTATAGTAGGCTAGAGAACTGATGCAATTTTTTGAATTTTATGATGCGAATTTGATAGGCTAATTTAATAACATATACAAGCAACAATGTCAGGCTGTTATCGTCTCAAGACGACATGTGACTCGTTCAACAACCAAATATACATTCCAAAAATGTCATTTTTCTATTGCACACAACGTGAATAAATTATTCTTATTCTAAATGCAGACAATTTAAGCATAAAATATACCTACCGCAATCGAGTCATTTTATTTATATTTCCACTTTTTTTTTTACTGTGCAGTTGTCTCGTTTGAATCGCCTTGTTTGTTTGACGCTTGTGAATTAGCATATTTTCGATGTGAAACAATGTAATTTAAATGGCTGAATGCATGCCCACGTGCTCTCCTTATTCGATGCGACGGCTGAAAACAAGGCAATAAATTCTCAATTGAACGAAGCGAATCAAATGTGGTGAATATTGGCATTTTGCAACCGTAAATGATTCTGTCGACAAAAATAGCTGCCAATGTTATTTATCGATTGGCAAATTGATGACGGAAAAAAGAAACTATTTAAAATCCATCCTCGGAATGCAAAATTGCGCAGGAGTGACGTAAAGCGTGATCATATGGAATGATATGATCTGGTGCTCTGTCTGCAAAGGGGCTTTTTTTCAAGGAGAAAGTGCGCATTTTTACGAGCCGCAAATTATACGCATTTTTAAGCAGTCGATGACTTCTGCATACGCATATTTTAATAAATTTGCAGCAAAATTACCTAAGTAAATTCACTGTTTCGAACGGGTTGAGTTAATCCATTCAACTCATTTAGAACGTAGGTACACCATTTAAAACACAGCAAATTGCAGTGACCAAAATATGACCGGAAGGTGATCCAAGTTCATTCATAAAATACCAGAAAATCATCATCATCATCAAGGTTACATGAATAAACAAAGAAAGATGCATTGGCCAAGCGACAATCCACCAAAGTCCATTCATTTTTGGATATCATATATATTTTATTCATATTTAAAATATTTGAAAAATACACAGAATAGAAATTGCATATAAGGGAAGAAAATTCTTATAAAAGAAAAAAAAACGGTATATATAGTTGACAAAAAAAAACCGAATATTTACAAAAAGGGTGTTAAGTGACCAATAAAAAGGCATTGTTCACACACGTGAAAAAAGAATGTGTTCCAATTACGAAAAGTAGTCGTTTAAATGCTAATTATTAAAATTACAAAATGTATAATGAAGCAAAACACTGTTTTTTTTTTCATCGAAGAGACGAAATCACTGTCGTTGCGGTTAGCCCACTCTCACAAATCAAATAAAAAGAGTTCAATTCGTTGGTTTATCTGGTGTACGTGCACGCTGCGCGCATCGAGTTGTGTCACGAGAGTAAAGATGCATATTATATACTAAGATACAGTTTATAGTGTTTCTAATTTATCATTTGTTAATGAATATGATAGACATTAGCGTATGTATGTTAATGGATAAGATACATAGAAAAGCCTAGAGCAAAATGGGAAATACAATTTGTAGTTTAAGAAGAGAGAAGAAAAAACAAATAAAACTTAAAAATTACATAATCAAATATATCAGCTGAACTGAATTATTGAGAGAAAAAAAAACAAAAAAAAATATATATAAATGTTCTTTCTTTTGCTACCTTTGGTTTGTTTTGGGGGATTAACTTAAGACGTTATTTTTTCTTCTAAATCTTTTAAACTATTTCACAATGATGTCCGAACGACAAAAAAAAACCACTGAACGGTATCATAAAATGGAATTTAGCATGTTTTGGCGTTTCTATTTATCATTACGTTGTAGACAGATCATGGATATGAACTTGAACGATTTTTGTTTTACACAAAAAGCGGTTACACATATTTTATTCATGAGCCATTTGAAACAAGCAATTTTTGAATGAGACGAAAAAAAGGTGATTTGTCACCACAATAATTTATGCTGATTGTGTTTGTGTTTTTGTTTTATTTAAGATTCACTATTTATATTTGGTAATGCGCTGCATTGCACCGTCGCCTATATAGCTACAGGCATCTACAAAAAAAAACAAGTCGATGTGATGAATAACGTGCTTTGTCTTTTATTTTAGCTGATGAAAGATCGATAGCAATTAAAATTGAGGGTTATCATTTTGCTTTGCATTTGGTTTTGATAAATGTATTGATTTCAGTTGGTTGAGTCGAAGAGAATAAATTATTTTGTGAAAATTCAGCCAAGTATGCATGACAAATGGCATTGTAAGTGATTTATAGATGATTGGCATTTTGATACAAATCAAATTGGATAATTGTTATTAAATAACGTATTATGGTTTGAAACATAAATGCTAGATCGATTGCGTTGCCATCGCTCTAGCGATCCGATCCAATCAATCGACCGGCCCGAGAGCATTTTCTTTGCACCAGCTGCCATTCAAAAATCAATTCGCACTGCACATTCATTTGCGTTGGTTTTACTCCGTTTTGGTTAGTTTCACTTCGGCCGTAGTGGTTGCTGTTGTTGTTGTCGTGCTGTCGATGGATTCATTTTTGTTGCGATTCTTCGGCAATCGTCGACCAATCAATATTACCACGTCTCCCGTTTTGATGGATTTGAATACATTTATGGCTTCATCATGTTTCATTCCTTGCAGAGATTTACCATTTACCACAAGAATCTCATCACCTGAAATTAAAATGTCAAGAAATCGTTTAAAAAATTATATTCGCGGAACAACAAAAAAACATCAACAAGACCTCAAACTGAGCAGAAGAAAAAAAACATATCGATACAACATAAAAAATGTTAAAATGTTCAATGGTGAGAGAGAAAAAAAATCGAAAATTGGAAATTTAAAATGGGGAAAAAAATTCAAATGGCGAATGAATGTGTTGGGAAAAAAAAATGTGGAATGTAAACAAAAATCTACGGAACTGGCATGTGAATCGGCTGGTTTTGGTGTGAAAAAATTATTTGAATTATATAAAAATCTGCCATAAACGATATGAACCATTGACGAGCACAATGTGTGACCAGTGACCGCACATAGTGTTTGCCAGCTAATAAAACTCAAGTACATGCGATGTATATACCTTCTTTGAGTGTTCCCTTTTCGGCTGCTTGGCCGTGTGCATAGACCGTTTTCACATAGATGCCCATCGAACCTTTCGGACTATCGACACCGCCGACAATCGAAAAACCCAATCCTTTTGCGCCATTGCCCTTGGTGAAACGTGCCTGCATAGTTGACCGGAGATAAAGAGAGAGAAATATTAAACACGTGATTGAGTGAAGAAGGCTACTGTGATCAAAACAACAACAATAACAAAACAACATGTAATGAAGTCAGCTGTGTGAGAGTTGTTTAATATCCAGTTACAAATTTCCGAAGAAATTGCTTATTTCGCATGGAGTGCAACGTGATGATAAACATATTGGCATTTGATTGTGTGTATGGTACGTACATGACGAATCGTGAAACCGTTGTTGCTGCGAGGCAGTGTACAGAATTTGCTCTCCTCTTCTTCGTCGTATGCATCTTCGTCTTCTTCATTGAATTCGTGCGTCTTTTCGGGAATGCGATCAAACGACTGGAATGAGAGAGAAAAAATGGAAGAGAAAATTACTTTTAATAAATATCAATGAATGATCCACCTTCGCACACTAGAGAAACTGGCGAGTTGTATTTCTATTATCAATTCATCTGTTATTTCCACAATAAATTAAATATTTTAAGAGCCTAGGGTTGAAAATGATCCAAGAGAAGGAAAAAAAACGACAACAACGTTGAGTATTTTTAGGGCCTAAAATTGTTTCTTCTTTTTTTCCTGTCTGCAGGTAGTTTTGATGTGCATCACACACGTCGAATCGCATCGCTTCGTCGTCGTCGTCTTCATGTTTGAGTTTCGAGTCGGTGCATTGATATTTATGAAACAAATGATGTGGTCATTAATTAAAGCGTCTTACATTTCTGGTAATTTATTAGTGGTATTTTTGAGCGAAGCGATCGACCGACCCACCGACAGTTATGTCATCATCATTGCAGTCAGAATAGATACAAACGAGTTTTCACCCAAAAACAAATTGCATTATATATCTATTTACATTTCCACATCAATCGGATCAAATAAGGAATTATAGAGTTATTTTCATCTCTTGAAATGACATGTTGAACCGAAATTGAAAATGTTTGTAATCGTTCGCTTCGAAATTAATTGCGTTTCATGAGTGAATGATTAGTATCTGAGAGCTAGAAAGATGCATTTTCCAAACATCTCTCTCTCTCTGTCTCTACCGCTCAAAATGTGGTCAGCAATTCAAGTCAAGTGTGCAGCATTTTTGGACCACCCTGAAATCGAACCGAATGTAATCGTTCTCTCTCTGTGCCTTTCTCTCTCTCGTTCCGTCTCTCTTCCCGTTCGTCTTTCTATCGTTAATTTCGTCGTGTCATTTATTCGTATTGAATAGACTGTATTCCAATATCGAACCAAAAAGAAACCGCTCAGCACGTTGATCCTTTTGTGAAATTTATTGGTTTGACTTTTAAACGGCATGTAAATGCACGGCCAGTGCATGTCTGTGCCATTGTACTCGAAACATTTAAATTTCCATTCATTCAGCATGTTTGCCGCAGCGATTACCAGCTACAGAGCCACAGTGAACTGAGTGGCCCATGCGATGATACTCAATAATAACTAGCCTTTATTTGTAAATTAAAATGTGTAATCGAAACGAAGAAGACGACGGCGATGACGGCCAAGCGAGAAAAACAGAGCTAAGAACAGCATCGAAGCTGCCGATTATTGTTATTATTGATTTTAATATTGTTATGTCGTTCGCATTACTTTCATCTGGTATTCTGTTTTGCGTGCACTTCGTCTCGGTTCTTTCTTCTTTGTGAACATTAACACATTCGACATTTGGTCAAACTCATTAAGTTCGCGCTCTGTCATCATCGTCGTTTGGAGTATGTGTGTTGTTCGTTCTTTCTTTTTTCCTTAACCAGAGTGAACAGAAGTCGATTAATCGAGCTTTTTAATTTCAGTGTGGAAAGAATTTCCGTCTTAGCAGGCCAAAGATCGCATGCTGCTTAATTTGATTAAAAAAAACGGCGAATGAACGGAAATAACGTCTTGGCGTATTTGGTTTATCGATTTTTCATTTTATCTGTTACAATAAAACTACATTCGCTCTCTTGTCGTCATATGCGCATATTTTATGGCCATTTCACACCTTTTTGTCACATCGCTCATAATTCAGCGCGTTATCAGAGTCAAAGCACTCACACTTCAGCCGAAGCACTTCTTTTATGTGCAGAATAAATGCCAAACGATGAATGCATCCACAGACACTAACACCAAGTGTGTCTCCAACCAAAAGAATTCTCATAAAAAAGACTTTCATTCAACCTCAAAGTGGTACTCAGAGCGAGGCCATTGCCGTTAGTCTTTAACCGCTTCGCGCCAATGCATTTTTAATGAATTCATTCCATTTTAACGTCCGCATAATCAGCATCGCTTTGGAATATGTTAATTCGATAAGTTTTGATTGAACAGTCGCTGGAGAGGTGAACGACGAGTGAGTGTATTTACTGAACGACACTTTTCGAATCGAATAGAAATGTGAAAGTGTGCCAAAGAGAACGCAACTAGCACATTATCACCTGTTCCAAAGCATTCTTTCATATACCAGAGAGTGACGCTAACCATATTTGCATTTGTTTTGTTCAACGCGGTGCGAATACAAAGTGTAAACAAAATGAATCGATGAAAATTTCGGTTATTGACAGCTATGATTGGAGATGGGCATCAAGGCAAGGCAAAGATTAATGAAGAGAAGGGCCATTTGGCAAACTTTAATTTTTTTTTCCATATTTGATCAATTGATCCATGACATTTCAGCGATGAAGCTGTCACTTTGAAGTACAAACAGGATTACAAAGCGTGCGAATCGGAGTTTCTCTCTTTTGTTTCATTCCTTTTGGCGAATTTATAATTCGCGCTGTGAACTGAATGTGTCATCCAAAATTGATTTACTATTGAAAGATCGCATTTTGTACATGAGTCATGCTGGGTTGGCATTGCCAGTCGAAGATCGACATTAATTCAAGATTTCATTCAATTTTCGCTCAAGAAAAAAATGAGTCTAAGCAATTTGATCTGTGGCACGTGGGAATTGCGATTTACAATTCAAAAATACAGCTTCTACGCAACCACTTCGATGTGAATCGATTTTTTTTAGTGGAAGAGGAGAGAGAGAGAGAAAAAAAGAATTGAATTGAATCAAGTTGGATAGAAGGCGTTTAAATTAATTACCATTTTCCTCGGGTAAATATAGGCGACTCGGTCAATCGGATTCGATGCGCGCAAAAAGCAATCATTAATGTTCCGATCTGATTTAAATGATGGTGTGTAAGCTCCGTTCACAAGCATAAACACATCACGTCAGCCTACACATTCCGATGAATGCCGTTTGCTTGGCTTTACTCGTTCGCTTGCGCCCGCCACCGTTTACATAAGTGACAGCAAATTACAGAGTAAACGAACGGCACCGGCAGCATCAGCATTGGAATAGATTCTTCGGTAAAATATCTGGTAGCTCATTCATTCCATGTAATAAAATCACAGTTTTCGATGCGAATCGTTTCTCTTTCATTTCTCTGTGTCACAGATGGATTTTGCGTGCCTCGTACTGGTTACGTATATTTGTATATGCTGAACACCTTCCCCGCATCATTCATCAACTGTCATTGATGACTATTTTTTTTTCCTTTGCACGTATGCAATTATCTCATCAGATCGAACACACATGGAGAGCAAAAGCAACCATCGAATCATTTACATAAAAATCAGAAATAATTTCATTTTTATAACCGTTTGCCAGTAATTATTATGTATTAAGTGCAGCATTGGGCATTAATTGCTTGGCCAGAAAAACATATTAAATAGTCGATTCAGCGTTTTTTCTGCCATTCTGGCTAAGCCTCGTTGTCGAAAAATATGCACGTCAATCGATTATAATGTTTGAAATATTTTCGTAGAATATTGAATTTATTGGCGGTTTAGCCAGTGCATCACATCCACGTGACCCAATTTTTTCGTTGTCTTTCCCAGCAAATGGTCATTTAATTAATTTATATTAAAAATGCATTTGTGAAACGCACCGTCTGCAATATGGACATTTTACAATGTTGATGCGGTATAAAATATTTGATTTATACGCTCAGCAAATGAAAAAATCATAGCCAATTAAACGGTGTTTATCAACGCTAATACCTACATAAGCCCCATGGATTCCGGCGAGTTTACGGTGTTGCGTTTTGATGCAGACAGTATCGTAGATACACTTCTATGGTGCTTTCTTCATCACGTCCAACGTGAAACGATTTGCATGTCATTATCTAAATTGATACCCTTTCTCATATCATGCGCTGGCGCGGTCAACAAACGTGCCGATTAAACCGATTTATCTATAACTCACAGAGTTTATGGAGTCGCTTTCGACTTTGAGACTTGTCTTTTCTAGTTAATTACGTGCTAAAAAGTGAATGTTGCCCCACAGGTTAAAGTTGAATTCGATTCACACTCACACACAGACACGCAGCCACACGCATGTGACCGATATCAAAACAAATACTTGTTTTCAATCGTTTTGTTTTTTTGTGCATACGTTTCATTTTACGCTTAACTGGAAACTTTCATTCACATTTAGAAAATGTCATTGATGCGAGCAAAAAAATATGAATTTATCACATGTGAAGAAGAATGGAGTGAAAAAAATGACTTTCCATTTGACAAAGTGTGTTTGTGCGCTTAAGTGCATTTTTTTCCGCACTGACATTAATCTAATTTTCATGCAAATCCTCAATTACACTCATCGATCATCTCTTTATCACCCTTTCTGCGATAACATTGACAATAAATAAATACACAAAGAAAAATGTACAAACAAAGCAAAACGATTTTGATTTTCTCACGTGAAAAATAAACACGGTTCCAGATGCAAAGAGGAAATGAGTGTGTACGTCTCTGGGTATGAGTCGCTTCGGTAACAAAAGTCATAAATTTGGAAAATCAATTAAATCGGCCCAAATGTGGCAGACGCAGTAGATCTTATCTCTCGCTCCAAAAAGCCATCGTTTATATTAATGTGCTTTGATAGCCATATAAAAATGGTTGAAACCAACTAGGCATTTTATAAAATTTCAAGTGCAAGTTTGTTTCATTGCGTTACCGTTCTCCATTCAACGGGGCAAGCGAGAGAGCGAGAATGGTTCGGTTTGGTTTTTATTCATCCCATTCGATAAATTACGGAATTAAAATGCATAACCGCATCGTTAAAATCAAACCGCAACATATAGCATAAACTGTGTTTTTTTTCCCTCACCAAGCGCCAAATTATTCTCGTGTCCATTTCGAAGCCAAATTTTATACATTGTATGAGTTTGTGCGCATCGCAACTCGAATTCTTCTCTTTTTTTCGTAATATTTGTTATTTTGGATGATTCTTTTTCTGGTATATTTTTCAAGAGATTTTTGGATGTTTGACCATTTCGATAAGACGTTTCGATATTGAGAACAATAAAAATGTGGAAAATACGCGTAGATCGAAAATCGAAAATGCTCAATTTTATATCCAATTTTATATCCAACTCTCTCTCTCTCTCCGTTTCGTATTTGGCATGAGTCAGTTGTTCGTTTGAAAAGTGATTGTGTGCTGGTTTTTTGTGGGCGCAATTGTGTTTACGACATTTTGCTTGCATATAAACACGTAGAAGTTTTTCGTCGATTTACGATTGGGGATTCGTCGAATCGATAAAATTGTTTATTAGATCGAGCTATAAAACGATACCAAACCGTTCGCCTAGACGCAAATATAGATGACAACAATGTTTTGTGTGGCGAGTGATGAAGTAATTCGACGCGCTTGGTGTGCTGCTTTTCCCCGTATGAGTGTGTTCACTATTAGAAGTGGTTTTATCAGCACAAATGCACCGAAAAAAGTAAATATTTTTCCGATGGAATTATGTCGTTTTTATCAGCATACATTTTTATTGATATTCAGCACTCTCTCTCTCTCTCTCTCTCCCATTCGCCCGAAGTCAACGGACTTGCTGGCGTGTGCATCACAGTGCACATGAGTAATCCGATCCCGAAATAGGAACGTAAATATGATTTAATATTCGATCAGCAAACAAAGTGGAATGCACAAGTGTCGATAAAAAAAAAAACAGTCCGAGAATGGCTGAACCAAGGAAGAAAACAAATCAATGCGACGTTGTGTTGAATTCCTGTTTGTGGAACGAAGGCAGTTCAAACGCTTATTTGTAGAAAGTACAAATAGAGATTAAATTAAATCGTAAGTAATTTAATAACAATGCAATACCTGTGTCTTTTAATAATCGGTATGTCGTGCGTCAATCACATCCACACGCGTGCTCGCCACAATTTACCGTTAAAATCGGCTGACGTACGCATTACAATTCACTTAAGCCGGCCATTTGCGTTTATTATTGCGCATTGTAAAAAAAATGCTGTTTCTACTAGGTAATAATAGAATAGAATAGACGTTGAGCATAAAAATCAAATGACCGCAGAGAGCGAAAAAAAATCGTGAGACGAAGCAGAAACAACGTGAAAATGAATCGTAAGCCATGAATTCATCGTGTTTCTCGGTATAATTCAACGTTATACAGAAGCGGTGATTATAACGAAGTCTGGCTGAATTAACCGAAATCTACTGGCGAATGGATTATTGCAATGCAATCAACAACAATGGACAATCGCTGTTGAATTTCTCTCTCTCTCTCCCTCTCTCTCTCTGTGTGTGTGCTGTGAATATGGAAGTGTGAACATAAAGAAAGCCGAACAATAGAGAAGAAACATAGATAGAAAACAATTTTGAAAATACGGAAGTACCAAATATACCATGAAAGCGTGCACAAGCAGCAGCAGCTAGGGCGAGCACTAGGTTTTCCATTTGATTTTGTCCGACAATCATGATTCTCATTCAAATGAATGTGCATTTTTAATTTGTTGCTTGGCATTTTGGCGTGTTGCATTACTGAATTATGATGCATCAATTATCTGATGGTGAGCGAGTAGGAAAGAGGTAGAGAGAGAAATGGAGTGTCGGCATCTGCGGAAAGTGATTTGTTTTTAGTGTGCCAAATGCGTTGGCTGCTCATACTGATTACTGAGCAAAGGAACAAAATTGCAGCTGCAAGCAATGCCAAAAGATATGGTTCACTTGTGACCGTTGGCCGCACACCAACAGTTTCAAACGCAGGCAAAATGGCAAAAAACACCATCGGTGTACCATGTGTGACGCGTGCTCACAGCTCGGTTTCTGTGTGTAGGTGTCGGCGGTGGTGGATGTTGTTGTTTTTTTTGCTCATATCCCATTCAATTATCCGTCGTTTAATAAACGATCATTTAAAGCGTAAAACTTGTTTAGGTAAAATGACCCAAGCGAAGTAAATATCACAAACAATCTCTTAATTCGTTAGAACTTGCATACATTCTTCCTCTCACAACACTCTTTCTCTCTCTCTCTCTCTCGTATGTAACACTACCGACACCAAATTCACAGTACTTTCCGTTCGGGATGTGATTATGATGAAAAATTATCTGCTTACTTGTGTGTAAATGGGAGATAATTTATGTTTGAACGAGCATTTAGTTATGGTCAGCATTTGGTGCGTCGTCGAATTGTGCAAAAGTAGTTTGTTGGAATTGCTGGTGTGTGCGAAAATGATAGACGACAACGGCAACTACGGCAACGACGAACGATGACGACGACATTCGATAGTTTGAGCAACTACGAGCAACTGTATAATGTATATATGGTAACTATTTGTATGTAAATGACATGGAAAAAAGCATAATTCCTGTCACTTGAACTGAGCAGCGGCAGCGACAGCGGCACACAGCCATTTAGTGGCATCGGGCTTCGGTTCGTTTGCCTCTATCTCCATTTGACAAATAGTCACAATGAACTTTTCACATTTCTAATTCGTATTCATCGTATGCACATATAATAACATTTTCCTTTGTACGCCACCGCTTTTTAGTCTATTTTTGAATGGAGGTCGGTACTTTAATATATTTTTTTTAAAGTAAAAAATAAACACATGCCGTCCATTCACGCCGCCAATGTACAAACAATGGAAGTGAAATTGGTTTTTGTCAAGCAAATGACGATGATCTTCCGTTTCAACTTTCGTCGTCGTCGTCGTCGTCGTTTGTTATTTTTATCATTTACGAAAACGAGCATTTAGTCGTTTTAATTTATTGCCGTTTCTGAAAATTTCCGAATGCAATAAATGCGGGCTGAATGTTGTGTTTGTGTGTGTCTGTTATCAAGCGACGTTGTGTGTTGTTTGTTGCCATTGCATTTAATGCGCATCGAACGTTATGTTATGATACCACCGAATGAAGACAACAACAAGAACGACGAAGAAACGAGAAGAACCACAAACCGATTTGAATTACATGTTGCCTTTTAATGAACACTTATAATTAGATAAAATTATTTCATTTGCAGTCATTACGGCCATAAATTGCTCGGGAGAGAGAAAAAAAAACATGGCGATGAACCGAAAGTTAAGAACGATAATGATGATGAAAAATTAAATATGGTCTAAAATCATTTACAACAATGCAACAACAATAGGTCGAATGCAAGTCATTTGGTATGCTACACACCATTTTACTCTCTCTCTCTCTCTCTCTCTCTCTCTCTCTCTCTCTTCTCTGCGTCGCTTTTTTCACTTTTCTCCCTTTTTCGATACTAGGTAGTTTTACATACGGCTGTGATAAAGAACCATTGTAGCCGACACACAATTATCAATGCGGTGTTGTGAACGATTACACGTGAAACGCGAAGAAGAACGTAACAAAAGAATAAAAAGTAATGGGAGGTCAAATGCAGAATGAGAACCCATTCAATTAAAAAAGATAAAACTAATATTATGTTGCGTTCCGTTGCGTCGGCTGCTTCCTATCGTTCATTTTCACGGTGTGATCGGTTAAGGTGAGCGAGGCTCCAAACGAACGTATTACAGTAGTCTTGAACCCTATCTTCGTGTCGTTTTTTAAATGGATTTGGATGTGTTTTTTTTCTCCATATATTCTCGTAATTCGACGACTCATCGACATTATCTAAATTACGAATTTTTTCAATTGTCTAGAGAGACAGAGAGAGGAATCGAAGGGCAAAGAGAGAGAGAGAGAGAGAGAGTGAGAGAGAGCAAAGGGACTTTCGATCTTTCATCGCAATCGAATCAAGTTAAGTCAATTTAAATTCGATGATGATAATGATGATGATGATGAAGCATCGATTCCTGTCAATCTATCCTCAAAAATAGGCAAATTACTGATAATTTAAATGGGATATTCAGTTTAAAAAGCGAAAAATCCACTCAATCAATCGCATTTCAATTCTTTTCAAAGAATTTGTTTTCATTTCTCTGGGATAGAACTTGAATCGAACTGGAAGATCAAACTATAGTTGACGTTGTGGAAATTAAACTGGACTTTATAAAGCCTATTATTGAATCGAAGTATTTCTTTTAATGAAAGAATTATAAAAACAAGATGAAGAAATGGGTCTATCAAATTCCGATGTCATCGGTTCGATATCTTCTAACAATAGGATTTTGGTTGTAATGTTACATGCTGAGAGATATGTTTAATTTACCCATGGAAGTCACTTGGTGTATAACATAACCAGTAATACAGGCCCTGTGTATATCACTTTCATAACAGTGACGAGTGTTTTCATTGTGGTTTTTTTTTTGTTATTCCACGTCCTATTGAAGACGAGATGGTTCAACTCAATTAATAATCCGGTGAAATATGAATTGATTTAGTGGTTCATACACATTGCGGCGTACAATAGACACGAATACCGTGAAGATGTGTATAATGTCTAAGGCCTACGCATCTCTTTTCATCGGCAGTGAAAAGCATATGGAAAATCCAATTCCAAAGAAATGAAACAGAGTAAAAGAAAAAAAAACAAACAAATGAATTTCTCACACACAATTCATTCGGTCGTTTGTGGTTCTTGTGAGCGCGAGAACGACTTTTGCTTTTCGAAACAATTACAACTTAATTTGTTCTTTGATTTTGAGTGTATAGTAACAAGGCGTGCGTGCACCAACAGACGCTCGTCATTTTACTCGTTTTTTTTTCCACATATATTTTATGGTTTTTATTACCTTGAAAATTAGTGTGAATCGCATGTAATTTACTTGTTCGTGAATCACAGACGAAGAAAACGAGAACTTCATCACAATAACTCAACAAGTCGTTTTCCGTTCGTTTGCTCGAGTTTTGGTCCATAAAACGATGCGCGAAGTGGACTTACGTAAAACTCTTTTTAAGTTGATCATAAATCCAAAGTGAAATTGCTGAAATTCCGGAATTGTTAGAAAATTCCGATGTCAAACCCGCTCATCGCCTCTTTTTTATTCACCGTCTCTCATTTATTCGTTTTTCACGAAATGATATGGATTCAAGTGAAATGCCAATGGAATGTTATGCATCGTGTCGACAGGCGAAATGAATCTCACTTTCATCGTGAATGTGTGTGCGATGTGTTGCGCATGCAATTTCCTTTTATGCTTCGGATTCGAAAGCATTTTTTCCCTCATTTAGATGGATTATATCCGCTACTGAATTGGTGTATCACACGGCAATAATTCAATGACTTTTACCATTCGATCAAAATCCGTTAAATTGCTCACACTTCATTTGAAATAGGTTCATATTCATTTGGGACGTGTGTCAATTGGTTGTGAAATCGCACACATTGGACAAAGTGATTGCTTTTGCCACCCTGCAAATAGTAGATTAAAACCACATTTCCATTTAATCCGCTGCCACACATTGCGTGTTCGGCTGATTTTTATTGCAGGTTGGACCGAGAAAAAAAAATTATATACATGATAACTTGCCGTTACGGTATGAACCGTCTCTCGGCTTATAGCTAGTGTAGTCATTAGCATGAATTAACGGCTGAGAAATGTACACCTTTTAATTTTGTTGCGGCTAAATTGAGCCAAGCAAATCAAAGCGAAGCAGAGCAGAAGATTTGGCGCTGAACCCGTTTCCAATGAAGCTGTTGATTTGGCGCTCGTTACAGCCAGAAACAAAGACGCAAACGTCGAAACGATGTTTCAAAAAAAAAATGAAAGACGCTCATTTTTGTTTCCACACACATTTATCAATTTAGAAAATGCGTACATTGTACGATGGCATGGCAAACATTCTTTTGTGTATTTAAACAAATTTGCATCAGCGGCTTGGCTCATTTGTGAATGTATGATGGCGTTGGGAATGGGAAATAAGTGCTGTGGCGGTGGTGACCTGACACAATGGAACATAAAAAATGGAAACAGCAACAAAAACAACGATGAAGGCGAAAGAAAAAGAAATGTACACAAATAAGCATAACAAAATAGAAAGAATAAAATTGTTTGGCATTAAAATCGATAAAAAAAAGAATACGCAATAACCGCAAAAGGGCAATGCTAAGCACATATTTTCAGTGCACGTAATCATTTGAAAAAATTGAAGAGAAGAGAGAGAGAAAAAGGCAGCAACAAAGCCAAAAATGAAAACCAAACACGGTAGTGCATGAATGCGGCGCGAGAATAGAAATGAAACGAGTGAAATAATTTCATTTCATATTTGATCACATACATGTTATTGTGCACGTTGAGCATACACACCGGTAGGCAATTGAAGCACCGCTCGCGTCATTCCATCATCATCATACCAATTCGAACATTTCACCTGCGTGCTCTGCAAATGAAAATTACATATCGAAAGCATATACACACAGCACGCCGAGAGAGTGTCAAACATTGGCATATTCGTTCGGCGCACCTGATTTTTTTTCAGAAAAATACCACGAAAGAGTACGATGCAAGCCAAAATAATAGCCGGAGCACGTATTTTGCATACAAAATATCATTTTGAATGGTGTGCGCTTTTTTGTTGTTGTTATTATTGTTTTGCACTTTTTTTCTTCTTTCATTTCGGAATTTGTTTCTATGGTTTTTTCTCTCTTCTGTTATTGTTGACGTGTCGCTGTGGTTCTTTCGAAAGAAATACAAATGAAATTATTGGAATAACTGAAAAGTTGTAACAAAAAAATCCCATCTCTAATAAATGCTATTTCTGTATTCAGTTATTGCACTTTGAATTGGTTGGAAATACCGCCATCGCCACCGCCACATTTGACGAAAGACAATTCACGCTTTGCCCATGAGAGTAAACAGACGGGTTTGTTTAGTAGTTTGTTTACTGTAGGTGTGAGAAACTAAAAGGCAATTGGCTTCCAAAATCCATGCACACCATCGTCGCCGCCGACGTCGCACTGAAAAATGTCACAGTTAATTGTTTGATGGGAAATGGTCTTCGGTCATAAAAATGAGATGAGCGACAACAAAAATTACTTATTGTTTGTTTATTAAATACGAATCGCTTCAGCATAGCAAAGAATGTGTACATTCTCATTGCGGGCGTTGTCATTTGACGACAGTACACTCGCGCGCACACACACACACCAGATACAATTATACACTTTGCTGCTATTTTAAATTGCTATTTAAAAGCAACAGAAAAATGGTAAACAAAACATCGAATTTATTTACATACGAAATGCCTTTTGATGGTTTTATGTGTGCTGTTGGTTGTGTGCATTTTGAGTCGTGCTGTTTGCACACCATGAAAATGATCGCCCTCGCCGCCGAGCTCAATGTGGATTCTTTTTTATGATTCATCTAAACGTTGAAATTGGTGTTTGGTGTTTATGATTTTCGATGCGGCATGTTTACTTAAACGCGAACGACATTATGCAGCACCGTTACTTGTTATTCTTTCCAATCTTTCTCTCCGTCGCTCTTTCTCACTCTCTATAAGTCAATTTTAACATTCCCTCACTCACTCTCTCTGTGTTCGAAAATGCCATAGTTAACATTGAAAGTGCATTGAAGGCGGTATTTTATTGACGCATTCTATTCAAAAAATAAAAGAAATACACCAACCAGCCTTCAGCATGCCATAAACATTGTGCAGATCTCTGTTGCTCTATCGCATAAACATAAACAGCAAATGTCATTAAACTTTCCGAGCAATTTGATCCATTTGATGAACTCCAAATGGAATGGCTGTTTGCTAACGGTCACAATAGACCGGTCAATTTCATATATGAATCCATTCTTATAGTCATGCCGTCAATTTCATTCGAAGCGATTGACATTTTCTACGGTGATTATTCCGAATATGGCAATAATTATTATGAAACGAGGCAGAGGATTAAATTCTAAATATTTAAAATGCGTTTACACAACGTCAACGCACGCATAAAAACAAATAGAGTGATGGGTCGTGATTTCTTTTTTTACCTGTTTTGTGGTAATTTTCCGGTCACGTATGAAAATTGTTTCCGGTGTTTGTGATGGTTTAGGCTGGATTGTGGCAGCGCTGTTGTTATTATTGTTCTCGTTCACCGGACTTTTGGATGCACCATTCGCTGGATTTGTTTCATCGTTTTGAATCTTTTTTGTTGTTGCCGCCATCGTTGTGGCAGCAGCTGTTGATTCGTGTGAACCGATTGCTTTCACCGATCGATTCATGTTGTTGTTCGTGCTGTTGTTGTTATTTTGTGATCCACCGTGTGGTGGCGGCAAATGATTAACACTCATTATGCGATTGATCCGATCAAGAAACCCGACCGAATCGCGATTCTTACGGCCATTCGACGATTTCGAAGCAGCCGATTCTGGCTTAACAGGTGAATGACTTCGAGGACGCCTACGGATCCGTTCACGAACGGCATTGCTAATTTTTGTCGCCGTCGATGGTTTGTTTGGCATTTTTTCACGCAAACTTACTCGACCGCCAACCATAAACTGTGGCTTACCATTTTCAGGCGGTGATGGTGTCGATGGTGTTGGTTTTTTCTTCTTCTTCTGTTTTTCATCATCGCCAGCAGCGGTTACAATTATTTTGGTGCGATAACTTTCGGTGCGCTTTTTGGTATCACCATTTGGCGATGCAAATGTTTTGACGGGCGATGTGTTGCGCACCGGGCTCGTTTGATTATTCAATGTTTTGCCATTGTTGACAAAATACGGAAGTGATGTTATCTCATTGCTGCCATTGCTTCGCGTCGATAGCGTGTCATCGATGTAGATTTTTGACGATGGCGCTGGTGAAGGAACGTAAAATTGTGTGGGCGTTTTTATCAAATCTTTTTGCTGACTAGATGGCGATTGGAATACTTCTTGCACTGAAAGTGTTCGTTTTTTGCGCAAACCCACATTTAATCGATTGAATTTATTGCGTAGCATTTGATGCACTTCTTGTAGCGATGACTTTTGGCCGGGTAATCGCATCGATGCCGATTTGAATGCCTTTAAACCGGGGAACTTGATTTCCTTACGCTCAGCACCATCCAAGCTGTGCTTTCGATTTGTGTCTGAATCGCCCGTGTAATATTGTATCCGTGTACGATGATCGCCGTTTAGATTTTCATATTTTTGCACATTAAACTCCCAATCGCAATTCGAGTCTTTTGGCAGATCTCGCATCGACATTGGACGATTCGGTGTGGCGCAACCGATTTTCCATAGCTTCACATCTTCTTCGTGGACTTTCCAATAATCTTCGGGCAATGGAATACTTTTGTTGATTTTCTCTGGAATCGAACTGTTGAGATTCACATCACGATATTCGTACTTTTCCACCGAATGACTTTTGCGCCAAGAAAACGGCCGAATCGGTTTGGTCGTCGATTCAATGGTTGGCGTGACGGAGGCTGAACGCTGATGACGATCACTTGAAACGACCGCGTACTGTGTCACCGGCTCTGTCAATATGTAACTGGCATCTGAATCTAACGACGTAGGTCCGGATACTGCCTTGAACGATGCACATCGTCGACGCAATTTATTCCATCTCTGCGATAGACCAGAAACGTCTGCAAATAAACGGGAGGAAATAAATGAAAATTAGTCATATTTTCTATAGGCAAAAAACCATTTTTCATATCATTCAATGGTTTTGGTTTTCATAAAAAAATCACTTCCGAACGTTTTTTTGGTTGAAAAAAAAAAACTGTTTACCCCGCAGTCATTTTTATTATTCACAACGAGTGTGATTGTTTTCTTTTCAATTTCCTACCAAACAATTAAAAAATAGTGGTAGCACACGTCTGGGTGTGCTAAAAAATTGGTTCCAGCTGTTTAATTGTTTGTGGACTGTGTCAGTTTTTGTGAGCGATATAATTGAAAATGCGAGAAAAAAATGCCATTTGGAAAATTGCATCGAACATCAACAAGTAAAAATCAATGATTGAAATGAATAGATAGAGACAATTAATGGCCACACACACACACACACACACACACACACACACACACACACACACAC